GCGGGCCCAGCGCGCGCTCCGCCAGGATGGCGAACATGACGCTCTCCAGCACCAGCGAGTCCACGCCCTGCGGGGGGACGGGGGCACCCCGAAAACGGGGCCACAGGTTGGGAGGCAGGAACGGGGCCCAAGAACAGGGATCCCCAAAAATGGGGCAACAAAAATGGGACCTAAGAATGGGGCCGCAAATGGGGATCACCAAAAATGGGAGCACAAAAATGGGACCCAGGAACGGGGCCGCAAATGGGGATCACCAAAAATGGGGCAACAAAAATGGGAGCCAGGAACGGGGCTGCAAACGGGGATCACCAAAAATGGGGCAACAAAAATGGGAGCCAGGAACGGGGCCGCAAATGGGGATCCCCAAAAATGGGGTCACAGGTTGGGAGGCAGGAATGGGGCTGCAAACGGGGATCCCCAAAAATGGGAGCACAAAAATGGGAGCCAGGAACGGGGCCGCAAATGGGGATCCCCAAAAATGGGGCCACCAAAATGGGACCCAAGAATGGGGCCACAAATCAGGGACCACAAAAATGGGACCACAACTGGGGATCCCCAAAAATGGGACCACAAAAATGGGAGCCAAGAACAGGACCGCAAATCAGGATCCCCAAAAACGGGACCACAGGTTGGGACCACAAAAATGGGGCCACAAATTGGGATTTCCAAAAACGGGACCATGAAAATGGGACCCAAAAATGGGCCCACAACTCAACACCCCCCAAAACCGAGACCCCAGCAGAGAGACCCCCAAACCAGCACCACCAAGCCCAGTGGGTGGGAACCCGAAAATCCTAATTCCAGGGGGTCCCTGGGGGTCTCCATAGGGTTTGGGGTTCTGGGGAGTTCCCTATGGGTCCCCATGGGGTTTGGGGTCTTGGGGGTCCCCACGGGGTTTGGGGTCTCGGGGGCCCCCATGGAGTTTGGGGTCTATGGGGTTCCCACAGGGTTTGGGGATCCCCATGGGATTTGGGGTCTCAGGGGTTCCTATGGGGTTTGTGGTCTTGGGGGTCC